AAGGAAATTCATTAACACCAGACATGATTGTAAGAGGTTCTTAAGAGAGTGCTCAGTGTGAAAACACAAGACCATTACTGACCACCACAAAAACAAACTGAAGTACATAAACCATTGACAATAAAAAAACAACTACACAAACAAGTCTGCATAACATCATGATAGCAGGATTGAATCCACACATATCAATATTACCCTTGAACATAAATGGACTAAATACACCACTTAAAAGGCACATAGCGGCAAGTTGGATAAAGAAGAAAACCCAACTCTATGTTGTCTTCAAGAGACCCATCTCACATGCAAGAACACACATAGCCTCAAAGTACAGGTATGGAGAAAAACCTACCAAGCAAATGAAAAATGAAAAAGAAAGTACAGGTTGCTATTCTAATTTCAGACAAAACAGACTTTAAGACCACAATGATCAAAAAAAAAAAAAAAAAAGAAAAGAAAAAAGAAGGGTATTATATAATGGTAAAGGATTCAGTTCAACAAGAAGGACTTAACTATCCTAAATAGATATGTACCTAACACAGGAGCACCCAGATTCATAAAGAAAGTTTTTACAGACCTTCAATGAGACCAAGATAACCACAAAATAATAGTGGGAGACTTCCACACACCACTGACAGTATTAGACAAATCATCAAGGCAGAAAACTAAGAAAGATATTTAGGCCCCAAATTTGACACTTGACTATTGGATCTAACAGACAACTACAGAACACTCTATCCAAAAGCAACAGAATATACATTCTTCTCATCTGCACATGGCACATACTCTAAAATTGACTACACAATTGGCCATATAATAATTCTCAGCAAATTCAGAAAAACCAAAATCATACCAAACACATTCACAGACCACAATGCAATAAAAATAAACATCAAGGCTAAAATGTTTGCTCAAAACCACACAATTACATAGAAATTTAAAACCTTGCTCCAGAATGATTTTTGGGTAAATAATGAAATTAAGGCAAAAATCAAGAAATTCTTTGAAATTAATAAAAGCAAAGACACAACATATCAGAATTCCTGGAAAACAGATAAAGCAGTGTTAAGAGAAAAGTTTATAGTATTAAATGCCCACATCAAAGTTAGATCTCAAATAATAATTGACCATCATACCTAGAAGAACTAGAAAAACAAGAGCAAATCAACTTCAAAGCTAGCAGAAGACAAGAAATAAGCGTATCAGAGCTGAACTGAAAGAAACTGACTATTGAAACAGATTTTTCTCCATATTTTACTTTGAGGCTATTGTGTGTCCTTGAATGTGAGATGAGTCCCTTGAAGACATCACAGAGTTGGGTCTTGCTTCTTTATCCAACTTGCCACTGTATGTCTTTTAAGTGGGGTATTTAGCCCATTTATGTTCAAGGTTATTATTAATATGTGCAGATTTGATTCTGTCATCATACAAAAGATAAAGGAAATAAGAACTTTGTTCTGTGAAATAAGATTGATAGACCATTAGCTGGACCAATAAAGAGGAAAGGGAAGAAGATGCACGTAAACACAATCATAAATAAGAAAGATAACATTACCACTCACTCCACAGGGGAAAAGAAACTCTCAGAGATGATTACAGACACCTCTATGCCCACAAGATAGAAAACCTACAGGAAATTCATAAATTCCAGAAACATACAACTTTCGGAAGATTGAACCAGGAAAAGTGAAACCCTGAACAGATATTGAGTTCCAAAACTGAGTCAGTAATAAAATTCTACCAACCAAGAAAAGCCCTGTACCAGAGGGATTAACAACCAAATTCTACCAGATGTATGAAGAAGAGCTGGTACTAATTGTACTAATAATATTTTAAAGTGTTGAGAAAAAGGGATTCCTTTTTAACTCATTTGATGAGGCCTGTGTCAGCCTGATATCAAAATCTGGCAGAGACAACTAAAAAAGAAAACTTCAGGCCAATACCCTTAAAGAACATAAATGCAAAAATCCTCAGCAAAATGCTAACAAACCAAATGCTGCAGCATATCATAAAGCCAACCCACCATGATCAAGTAGGCTTTATCCTTAGGATGCAAGTTTGGTTCAGCATATGCAAATCCATAAATGTAATATATCACATAAACAGAACTAAAGTAAAAACCACATGATCAACTCCATAGATGCAGAAATCCTTTTGATAAAATTCAACTACCCCATGTCCTCAACAAATTAGGCATTGAAGAAACACACCTCAAAATAGTAAAAGCCATGTATGACAATCCCACAGCCAACATCGTACTGAATGGACAAAAGCTGGGAACATTTCTATTGAACACTGGAATTAGACAAGGATATTTACTCTCACCACTCCTATTCCACATAGTACTAGAAGTCCTATCCAGAGTAATGAGGAAAGAGAAAGAAATAGGCTTTTTTTTTTCTGTGTAAGAATTCATTTCAAAATAACTTAAGGTTTTTATCTTAGGAGTCCCTGGGATCCTCAGCTGGAGAGGGAGGTGGGGTAGGAGGTACTCTGAGGTGGGTCCTGTGAGGGGGAGGGGCTTATTCCCAATCCAAGTGGGAGAGCATCTTAGCTTCATCACTTTTCTGGGTGATTATCTCTTCTCTAGTGGTCATGATGACTCTGCGCCTAGTCACCTCGGAGGTCAGGTCCTTGTAGGGGAGATTAATGGTGTTGTCCACAGGGCTTTTCTGAGCCATGGCCTTGCATTCAGGGGATTTGAGGAATTTAGGGTCACTGCAGCTTTTAATCCCAGGTCAGCTTTTACCTGTTAGCTCATGGATTTGCTAAAAACGTCCTCATGACATACTCTGTACCCACATACCAGCTACTCCGCCTTTTCGGAAAGAGAAAAGGCCAAAAATGAACCACCAGCATTAGCATCCTCCCCTTTTATCCTCATGTAGTCAATCTCTCTCAGGAACTTCTTTTTTTTTTTTTTTCTTTCTTTCTTTTTTTTTTTTTTTTAAGGTCCTTCTGCTGCCTTTTATTGGTTCCTGGCAGAGGAGGTACCCCAGGGCCAGGCAGGAGAGGCCGGGGCCTGGGGAGTTTCTGCGTCTGGGTGGTGGAGGCTCAGATTGGGAGCCGGAGGGGTTGGTGGAGGTTCTTAGGGGCTGAGCTTGGGGCCAGGGTCCCTGGGTCTGGGCCGGGAGACTGGGCCAGTCAGAAATAGGTGTCACTTATCCTCTGGGATGGTGAGGGCCTCTCCTGGGGCTAGGGGTATCACAGGGACAGAAGGCCACCCAGGGGGTCCGTGAGAGCCCCAGGGCAGGGAACGCCGCGGACTGCGTCTGCCTCCTGCGGGGCCTGGACAGGGAGGGGCTGTACCACAGCGGCCCCTGCTCAGGTCACCATGCGCCCCACAAGGCTAGAGCGGGCGCATGGGGCTCACAGCTCGTCGTGGTGCCGGGTCAGGTCCTCGCGGTAGTTGGTGGCCTGGCTGCCCGCAAACATGTTCCACTTCCCCAGGATCTCCGCTTTGCTCAGCCGCCAGTCCTTGTCCGTGTTGCTCTCATGCAGCAGGTGGTTGGCTTCCACCAGGGGCTGGTCCTCGGCGGGAGACAGGACCCAGTAGCCCACCTCATTCCCGTCCTTGTTCAGATCCCGGAAGTCCCGGAACTGCTGCCTCCCCGTCTGCACCCACACTGGCTCCTCCTCCCCGGGCTCGGCTGTGTACAGATCTGCTGGGACTGGGACAAAGGGCACAAGGTCAGGCGCAGCTCTGGGAGTCTAGTGTAGCTGGGGGCCTATCCTGGCTCCTATACTTCCTGACCCACCTGGAGCAATTCACTTAAAAAAATTTTTTTATGTTTTATTCGATTTTAATTTCTCAAATTTCATTTTTCATCAATTTTGAAGTTTCACTTTTGTCCAACATCCCACAAACAGCTGTAGACATGAAATGGTGTCCATGTGTCAAAGAGCTTGTCAGGGAAAGCTGCCAGTTGGTTTCTATACTGATGCCAACAGCCAATTTTGTCAACCAACAGGTTCAATTTTATGAAAAATGAAAACACAAACTCGCCATGCTATTTTTACAGCAACTCAGTGGTATCTGCTATGCAGTGCCTACTCCAATGTTCAAAACAGGGCAAAATGTTATAGGACTTAAAGGTTGCTTGTGACAGATCCAGAAGAAGACAATGAAACTAACTCAGGCATCATTCACTCCAAGGACGCAGCATTAGTTCACTAGGAGGGGTGTGGCCACATTCTACTGTGTGTGTGTGTGTGTGTGTGTGTGTGTGTGTGTGTGAAGTAATGTTCGCAATATTTACAATAAGAAAAAGACCTTCCACTGCTCATGATGTAACTTTCAGCAAAAAAAAAGTATTCATGCTTCTTTTCGTATCACATGATGGTGGCAAGACGAGAGAACATGCTTGTCTAACACTGCTTGGTTAAGGGTAAATTCTCTGAAGACAAAGCATCAGCAACTGGATGGAAGGTCAGAAGGCGAAGTTCATTTTCTTTAGTGTAGCTGGTCAATCTTCAGGTAACTATCAGAGTTCTTTCACAGGGGCAGCTATCGCGTTTCAGTGACAGGGCGTTTCTGTTTCAAAGTGTCAATGAGGGATATAAGACCCCTCGTTTTACATTGGTTGTGACTCTTCTGGTCACTGAGTCTGCTGGTGGTAGAGGTGGTCAAACTTTCTGAGAAGGCGGCCTGGCTACCAAGCACTTCTGACATCTAACATGCAGGCAGCCTGCACCGCCTCAGACACGTTACTGGCATTAGGCTCGCACCAGAAAACGTGGCACTCAAAGCGCTAGTTCCCCATGTCCATGATAAAGGCAAATGTGTGGACATCCTTCCTGATACCCATGAAGGACAGGAATCGCACAGGACACTCCACTAAGACTTCCTCTTCATTCTTTTCACAAAGTGTTGGAATTCATACCTATATTTCTTATATGTCACCTGCATTGCTATCTAAAAACAACAATAAAAATTTGAATGATGTAAAAAAAAAAAAAAATGGCGAGGGAGCGGGCCAGCGCAGCCCCAGCCGGCACCCACCATGCCGCGGCTGTGGCGCCTGGCGCCCCTGGTGCTCTTCTGCCCCTTCTCCAAGGGCCTGCAGGGCCGGCTCCTGGGCCTGAGGGTCAGATGTGTCTTCCTGGCCTGGCTGGGCGTGTTTGCGGGCAGCTGGTTGGTGTACATGCGCTACTCATCCTACTTGGAGCTCTGTCGCGGCCAGTCTGCCAGGTGGTCATCTGTGGCCAGTACCACCAGGGCATCATCTCGGGCTCCATCTGCCAGGACCTGTGTGAGCTGCGTCTGGTGGCATGGAGGACCTGCCTCTCGGCGGCCCCCGGCCAGCAGGTATACAGTGGGCTCTGGCGAGACAAGGATGTGACCATCAAGTGTGGCATCAAGGAGGCGCTGGACTCCAAGGCCCAGTGGGACGCGCCCCCCCGGCGGGAGCGGGTGCTCTTCGACAAGCCCACCAGGGGCACCTCAATCAAGGAGTTTCGGGAGATGACCCTCAGCTTCCTCAAGGCGAACCTGGGCGACCTGCCTTCCCTGCCGGCGCTGGTGGGCCAGGTCCTGCTCATGGCCGACTTCAACAAGCACAACCGGGTGTCGCTGGTGGAAGCCAAGTCCGTGTGGGCCCTGCTGCAGCATAACGAGTTCCTGCTGCTGCTGTCCCTGCAGGAAAAGGAGCACGCCTCCCGACTGCTGGGTTACTGCGGGGACCTCTGCCTCACCGAGGGCATGCCTCACGGTGCCTGGCACCCCTGCAGGGTGCCCTCCAGCAGTGGCTGGGGCCCGCTTGGCCGTGGCGGGCCAAGATCGTCATCGCCCTGCTGGTGTTCTTGGAGGAGCTCTTCCACAGCGCCTACGGGACCTTCTACATGTGCGAGACCACGCTGGCCAACGTGGGCTACACAGCCACATACGACTTCAAGATGGCCGACCTACAGCAGGTGGTCCCCGAGGCCGCCGTGCGCTGCTTCCTGCAGGGCCGCGGCCGCGAGCACAGCGCCGACTGCACCTGCGGGCGCGACTGCAGGGCCCCGTGCGACAGGCTCATGCAGCAGTGCATGCAACTTCATCAAAGTACAGCAACGTAGTTTTTAATGTGTAATAGTTGAAACTGAATAAACCACAGGTGGAAAATTTCAAGATATGTATAAAAAACAAAAGTAGAACTATAACCATAACATATTTAATGGTGAAACATTAAGCTTTTTAAAATCAAAAACAGGACAACAATGTCTGCTATCACATTGCTGCAAGTAGAATGTTGGGCATAAGGATTAGAAAGACTCAAAACTGTCATTATTCACAAATTATGTCATCATAACAGAAAATCCAAAGGTCTTTTTAGCCAAATTATTAGAACTAAAAAGATCTAGGAAGTTTTCCAGATTCAAAAATTAATTCGATTTTGTTTAATAGTACCAAACAATTAAAAATGTTCAGTAATGCTGGGCTCAGTGGCTCATGCCTGTAATCCCAGTACTCTGGGAGGCTGAGGCAGGTGGATCACCTGAGGTCAGGAGTTCAAGACCAGCCTGGCCAACATGGTGAAACCCCATCTCTGCTAAAAATACAAAAAATTAGCTGGGCATGGTGGCAGATGCCTGTAATCTCAGCTACTTGGGAGGCTGAGGCAGGAGAATCACTTGAACCCAGAAGGCAGAGGTTGCAGGGAGTTGAGATCTCACCATTGCAATCCAGTCTGGGCAACAGAGTGAAACTCCATCTCAGAAAACAAAACAAAACAACAAAAAAATCTCAGTAATAAATCAAACAAAATATTCAATATTGGTATGGTTTGGATTTGTGTCCCCACCTAAATATCACACCGAATTGTAATTCCTAATGTTGGAGTTTAGCAGCATTCATGAACATTTAATGCTCTTCTCAAGAGATCTGGTTGTTTAAACGTGTGTAGAACTGACCGGGCATGGTGGCTCACACCTGTAATCCCAGCACTTTGGGATGCTAAGGCAGGTGGATTGCTTGAGGCCAAGAGTTAGAGACCAGCCTGGCCAACATGGTGAAACATTCTCGTCTAAAATACAAAAATTAGCTGGGTGTGGTGGCACATCCTTATAATCCCAGCTACTCGGAGGCTGAGGCAGGAGAATCACTTGAACTTGGGAGGCGGAGGTTGCAGTGAGCCAAGATCGTGCAACTGCATTCCAGCCTGAGTGACAGAGCAAAACTCTGTCTCAAAAAAAGCATGTAGCACCTCCCCGCTCATCACTCTCCCTTGCTCCTGCTCTGATCATGTAAGATGCCTGCTCCCTCTTTCTGCTGTGATTGGAAGCTTCCTGAGGCGTCTCTGGAGGAGAAGCTGCTGTGCTTTCTGTACAGCCTGTAGAACCATGAGCGAATTAAATTTCCTTATAAATTATTTCTTTATAGCAATGAAAGAATAAACTAATGCAAATATCTTCATGGAAAAAATTGTAAAAACCTTATTAGACACCTAAATAAATCAAAAGAAACAGCATGTTGATGAATTGGAAGACAATGTTATAAAGATGATGATCTTCTTCCAATTGATTTATAGAGCTAATATTATCCAAACAAAAATTTCAAGAGTATGTTGTGAACTTGCCAAAAAATACATAAAAGTAGAAAGAGTTATGAATAACCAAGATGTTTTGAAAAAGAAAACAAGATGTACTAGTATCTTCTATTGCAGATAACAAAATTTTAAATGAAGCTATGTATTTAAGGCAATGTGTTATTAAAACAGGAATAAACAAAACAGACCAAAAGAAAAAATAGAGATCTAGAATTTGACGTGGGAACACATGGATTAGTGCTGTATGCTGGAGGAGGTATTGAAGAACACTGTAAAAATATTCTTTTTTTCTTTCTTATTTTTTGAGATGGAGTTTTGCTCTTGTTGCCCAGGCTGGAGTGCAATGATGCAATCTTGGCTTACCACAACCTCTGCCTGCCGGGTTCAAGGGATTCTCCCGCCTAAGCCTCCTGAGTAGCTGGGATACAGGCATGTAATTACAGACTATCATCCCCGACTAATTTCGTATTTTTAGTAGAGATGGAGTTTATCCCTGTTGGTCAGGATGGTCTTGAACTCCTGACCTCAGGTGATCCACCCACCTTGGCCTCCCAAAGTGCTGGGATTACAGATGTGAGCCATCATGCCCTGAGTGTAAAAGTATTCTTTATTCAATAAATTATTTTAGGGCAGATGCATATTCATGTAGATAACTGGAAAATTTATTTTTCCTTCACACTATACACAAAAATAAAATTTCAGTTTTTCACCAAGTCCTGTTAAAAAATTAACTACAAACATTTTAGAAGATAACTTAGAAGACCATCCTCAAGACCTCAGGATAGGAAAGAATTTACTGCATAACACACAAAAAGCATTAACTATAAAAGACAAGACTGATATATCCAACTACATTTTAAGTACATACTTCATTAAAAGACATACTTAAGAAAAAGGTCAGTTGTGAAATGATGGAATATATTTGTAATACAAATCTCTCATTCAAGTATTAACTAGGACCAACCCTGCTTAGCTTCCTAGATTAACAAGGTCAAGTGTGTTCAGGGTGGTGTGACTGTAGACTACAACACATAGCCGACAAATAACACTGACATAGAATTTCTACAAATCAATTTTAAAATACAGACTACTCAATAGGAAGAAATAGAAAAACCAACATTTTAAAAATAGTAATTTAAATGGCCCAAAATGCATTAAAAGTGCTCATTTTCATAAGTAATTGGAGATTTGAAAGTTAAAACCATAATGAGATATTATTACACATCAATAGATTACAAAATTATAAGTCTGACAGTATCAGGGTTGGTAATGTGGAATAACGAGAATTCTCTCACTGCTGGCAGAGTTGAAATTGGTATAACTTTGAAAAATTGTTTGGCATTATTTAGTAAAGCTGAGCATATGTCTATTTTAAATCTGAGCAATTTTCTTCCTAGCTATTTATGTAGAGAAACTCATGTACACGTGTAGCAGTATATATGTGTAGGAATTCTCACAATAGCACAATTCAAAACAACAAAAAATTTAAAACCACAATACTGCCAGTAATTTGCACCATGGAATTTTTTATATAGAAATGAAAACAAATAAATTAGAGCTACGTGGAACCACAAGGGTAAATCTAACAAAGTAATTTTGAGCTAAACGAGCAAGAGATAATATAGTTATATGATTCAATTTGTGTGAAGTTTTTCCTCTAAAGGCTAAACTAGGGAAAGAGTACCAAGGAGTTTTTATTCTAGCCACATATTTTTTAAGTTTTATTTTTAATTGATATATAATAATTGTACATATTTATGGAATAAAGTGTGATGTTTTGATACATGCATACATTGTATAACAATAACATCAGATTAATTGCGTATTTCTTCGCCTGAAACATTTACCATTTCTTTGTGGTGAAATATTTAAAAATCATTGGCTGGGCGTGGTGGCTCACACCTGTAATCCCAGCACTTTGGTCGACTGAGGCGGGTGAATCACCTGAGGTCAGGAGTTCTAGACCAGCCTGACAAACATGGGGAAACACTACTGAAAATATAACATTAGCTGGGTGTGGTGGTGCATGCTTGTAATCCCAGTTACTTGGGAGGCTGAGGCAGGAGAATTGCTTCAACCCAGAAGGCAGAGGTTGTGGTGAGCCAAGATCATGCTACTGCACTCCAGCCTGGGTGACAGAGTAAAACACCATCTCAAAAAAAAAAAAAAAGTCTCTTCTAGCAATGTTTAATATACAACATATTATTGTTAACTATATTCAGCCTGGGACACTAGAATTTATTCCTCCTAACTGCAACTTTGTGCACATTTGCCAACCCCTCCTCATACTCCCCTCTCACACTCCCAAGACTCTAGTAACTACTATTCTACCTGTACTTTTAAAATACCAACTATTTTCAATTCCTCATAGGAGTGAGAACACGTGATATTTGTCTTTCTATGCTTGGCTTATTTCATTTAATATAATGGCTTCAGGTTCATCCATGCTGTTGTAAATAACATTTTTATGGCCAAATCGTATTTATTTGTGTATATCTACCACAGTTTTTGTACCCATTTATCCACTGATGGACACTTAGGTTTATTACATATCTTGGCTATTGAGAATAGTGCTATAATAAACAAGGGATTACAGTGGTTTTTTTTTTTCTTTTTAAACATACTGATTTCATTTCCTCTGGATATATACTCAGAGGGAATGACTCAGAAGTGGGATTGCTGGATCATATGGTAGTTTGATTTGTAATTTTTAGGAACTTCCATACTGTGGTTCATAACGGCTATACTAATTTATGTTCCCATAACGGCTATACTAATTTATGTTCCCACCAACGGTGCATCCTTCTCCACAGCCTTGCCAGCATTTGATGTTTTTTTTTTTTTTTTTTTTTTTTTTTTTTTTTGGTTAGCCCTCCCAATGGGGGTGAGGTGACATCTCATTGTGATTTTTGATTTTGATTTGCATATACCTGACGATAATGATGTTGAGTATGAAAAAATAAACCTATTGGCAATTTGTATGACTTCTTTTGAGAAACATTTATTCAGATCTTTTGCCCATGTGTAATAAGATTTTTTGTTTTCTTAGTTACTGATTTGCTTTTCAAATATTTTCTCTCATTCTATAGATTGTCTCTTCACTCTATTTTTTTCCTTTGCTGTGCAGAAGCTTTTTAATATATGATCTCATTTGTCTATTTTTGCTTTTGTTGCCTGTGATTTTGAGTTCTTATCCAAAAAATTATTACCCAGACCAATATCATGAAGCAATTCCCACGTTTTCTCCTAGTATTTTCTTAGTTTTTGGTCTTACTTTTAAGTATTTAAGTATTAAATCCATTTTGAGTTCTCTTTTCATATGTAGTTAGAGATAGGCATCTAGTTTCATTTTTTGGCACACAGATATTCAATTTTCTTATCACCAATACACATTGGGGAAAGGGACGGCCTCTTGAATAAATATGCCTTTGTCAGAAATCATTTTTCTTTGCCTTTGTGAGAAATCATTTGACTGTAAATGCATGAATTTATTTCTGGTTTTTCTATTCTATCCCAGTGGTCTGTTTATAT